AAACTCCCTCTAAAACCCCTCAAAATTCCCAAATTCCTCCCAAAATTCCAATTAAAACCCCCAAATTCCCTCTAAAACCCCTCAAAATTCCCATTTTGATCCCAGAATTCCCCAAATTCCTGCCCCAAATTCCCTCTAAAACCCCTCAAGATTCCAATTTTGGATCCCAGAATTCCCAAAATTCCCGGATTTCTGCCCCAAATTCCCTCTAAAACCCCTCAAAATTCCCATTTTTGAACCCAAAATTCCAAAAATTCCCTGATTCCTGTCCCAAATTCCCTTTAAAACCCCTCAAAATTCCCGTTTGGATCCCAGAATTCCCGGATTTCTGCCCCAAATTCCCTCTAAAACCCCTCAAAATTCCCATTTTCAATCCCAGAATTCCCAAATTCCCGGATTTCTGCCCCAAACCCCTCAAAAATCCCATTTTGATCCCAGAATTCCCGGATTTCTGCCCCAAACCCCTCAAAAATCCCATTTTGGATCCCAAAATTCCCGGATTTCTGCCCCAAATTCCAATTAAAACCCCTCAAAATTCCCATTTTGGATCCCAGAGTTCCCCAAATTCCCGGATTCCTGTCTCAAACCCCTCCAGATTCCCATTTTGGATCCCAGAATTCCCGGATTCCTATCCCAAACCCCTCCAGATTCCCATTTTGGATCCCAGAATTCCCGGATTTCTGCCCCAAACCCCTCCAGATTCCCATTTTGGATCCCAGAACTCCGGGAATTCCGGGATTCCCGCCCCAAATTCCCTCTAAAACCCCTCAAAATTCCCATTTTCCATCCCAGAATTCCCAAAATTCACGGATTCCTGTCCCAAACTCCCTCTAAAACCCCTCAAAATTCCCATTTTGGATCCCAAAATTCCCAAAATTCCCAAAACTCCTCCCAAAATTCCCTCTCAAACCCCTCCAGATTCCCATTTTGGATCCCAGAACTCCCCAAATTCCCGGATTCCTGCCCCAAACCCCTCCAGATTCCCATTTTGGATCCCAGAATTCCGGGAATTCCGGGATTCCCGCCCGGCTCCCACCTGGGCCCGCGCTGCAGGAGCTGCTCCAGGACGGCGTCGAGACGTCGCCGCGCCGCCGCCGCCTCCAGCTCTGCCAAATTCGGGAATTCTTTGGGAATTCTTGGGAATTCTTGGGGAATTCCAGGAGATTTGGGAAGGATTGCAGGGAAATTTCAGGAATTTGGGGGGATTTGGGGAGGATTTTAGGAATTTTTTGGGATTTTTGGGGGGAATTTAAGGAATTTTGGGGGGATTTAAGGAATTATTTGGGAATTGGGAAGGAATTGGAGGAGATTTGGGAAGGATTTGAGGGAAATTTCAGGAATTTTTGAGGAGAATTTAAGGAATTTTTGGGATTTTGGAGGGAATTTATGAAATTTTTGGGGAATTTGGGGATTCCAGGGTTCAGCTCTGGGAAATTCGGGAATTCTTTGGGAATTTTTGGGGAATTATTTGGAAAACTGAGGAGATTTGGGAAGGATTTGAGGGAAATTTCAGGAATTTTGGGGAATTTAAGGAATTTTTTGGGATTTTGGGGGGGATTTCAGGAATTTTGGGGGGAATTTAAGGAATTTTGGGAGGATTTAAGGAATTTTTGGGGAATTTGGGGGTTCCAGGGTTCAGTTCTGGAAAATTTGGGAATTCTTTGGGAATTCTTTGAGAATTTTTTGGGAATTTGAGGAGATTTGGGAAGGATTTGAGGGAAATTTCAGGAATTTTTGGGGGGGATTTAAGGAATTTTTGGGATTTTTTTGGGGGAAATTTAAGGAATTTGGGGAAATTTCAGGAATTTTTGGGGAATTTGGGGGTTCCAGGGTCCAGCTCTGGGAAATTTCTGGGAATTTTTTGGAAAACTGAGGAGATTTGGGAAGGATTGGAGGGAAATTTCAGGAATTTTGGGGGGATTTAATAAATTATTTGGGAATTTGGGGGTTCCAGGCTTCAGTTCTGGGAAATTTCTGGGAATATTTTGGGAATTTGTGGAGATTTGGGAAGGATTGGAGGGAAATTTCAGGAATTTGGGGGGATTTGGGGAGGATTTAAGGAATTTTGGGGGGGATTTAAGGAATTTTTGGGATTTTTTGAGGGGGATTTAAGGAATTTTTTTGGAATTTGGGGGTTCCAGGGTTCAGCTCTGGGAAATTCGGGAATTCTTTGGGAATTCTTTGGGAATTCTTTGGGAATTTGTGGAGATTTGGGAAGGATTTGAAGGAAATTTCAGGAATTTGGGGGGATTTTTGGGGGGGTGGGATCCAAGGGGGAAATTTGGGGAATTTTTGGGAATTGAGAGAAAGTTTTTGGGGGAATTTGGGAGAATTTTGGAGAACTTTGGGAATTTTAAGGAATTTGGGAGAAATTTGGGGTCCCAGAGGGGATTTGGGGACAATTTCGGGGGAATTTTTTGGGAATTTGGGGGGTCCTGTGAGGGCTTTCAGAAGGATTTGTGTGGAAATTTGGGAGCTGGGGCTGGATTTGGGGATCTTTATGGATTTCTGGAATATTTGGGAGGAATTTTGGTGGGATTTGGGGAATTCTGGGGGGAATTCGGGGCAATTCCAGGAATATTTTGGGAATTTGGGGAGGGGATTTTTGCTTCCCTGGTGGGGATCTCGGGGGAATTTGGGGTAACTTCGGGTAATCTGTTGGAATTTGGGGATTCCAGGGAGGATTTGGGCGATTCCAGAGGGGATTTGGAAGGAATTTTGGGGTTCTCGGGTTGGATTTTGGGGATTTTAGGGGCTCCGGCCGAGCTCACCTGGCTTCTCCACCTTCACCTTGGCGGCCATCGCCGCTCCGGACGCGTCTCTGGGGTCTGTGAGGGGTGGAGAGGTAACGGAGAATCCCAAAATCCCCCAAAACTTCCAAAAATTCCCAAAAATCCCCCAAAATCTCCTCAAATTCTCCCGAAATCCGCGACCCCCCCTCACCGCCGCCCTCAGCCGCCGCCGCTTCCCGCCTTCCCCCGGCGCCGCTTCTCATTGGGCGCCGCGCACGTCAATCACAGCGCACAACCACTCAGCGGCCTCGGGGGCGGTGCCTCGAGGCGGCGCCATTTTGTCTTTTTGACTACACCTCCCATCTCGCACCGCGGCTGCCCGGGGCGCCATTAGAGCCGGGCCTACACAGCCCTCGCTACTCAGCTCTCCCCTCCCGGGGTACACGCCCCCAAATTCCCCCCAAATATCCCCCCACGACCCGAAAGTGCCCATAAATTCCTCCCCAGGCCTCCAACAGCCCTGGACGCATTACGGCCCGGCCTACAACCCCGATCATCCCTGGCGCACCGTGAAATCCCTCGTTATCCGTTTACAACTCCCGTCATGCCCCGCGGCGCCCGTAGCGAAGCATTGCAGACCCCGCCCCTCCCGCACTACAACTCCCGTCATGCCCCGCGGCGCTCGTAGCGAAGCATTGCAGACCCCGCCCCTCCCGCACTACAACTCCCGTCATGCCCCGCGCCCCGTAGCGAAGCATTGCAGACCCCG